GCCTTGGTGGAGGCGGGCGGGCGGGTGGAGGTGGAGCCTGCGAGCCGCGCTCTTCGAGCGGCTCGCAGGCCGACCTCTTTCCTTGGTGGACCAGAAGGCCCCGACGCTCGATAGCTCCTGGCCATCTCAGGGCGCGGGCTTCGGAGGGGAGGCGCAGTCCCCCGCCCCCGAGGCTGCCTCGGGCTGCCTGCGGCCTGGTGCTCGCGACGGTCATCGCCATCTTGGGGGAGACTGCCGGTTGCAGCTTGTGCGGAGGCTGCTGCCTCGCGGGCCTGGGGGCTTGCTGGTGGGGCACCTCCTGCCTCGCCCGTGTGCGCGGCGCGCTCGGCGTGCCACCGCCAGCGGCCGCGCGGGCGCATCCTCGGACCCTGGCGTACGGGCCTGGGCCACAAGCCGCCCATCGCGGCACGGCTGTGTTTGCCCCCAGGCCTTCGTCGCCGACTCGGGATTGGGACCCCTGAGGTTGGCCCTCGGGCCGCCCGCGCGGGCTCGCCCGCGACGCGCGGGCTGCTGACCCCGCGGCTGGTTCGCGGCAGGCGTCCCGCGGTCCTCAGGCTGTTCTGTTCGTCCACACATGGCCGCCGAGGAGCCGCCGATGCTCGGTGGCCCGGTCTGGTCCGAGCTCCACCCCTTCGACCCGCCGTCTGCCGTTCGCTACGACAGGTGGCGGTTCGACGAGGACGAGCGCAGTTTGGCCGCGATTCCTCTCGCTGCCAGGGAGGTTGGCGTCTTGCTGGCCTTCCCCATAGTCTATCGTACCGCCGCCGAGCTCACTGCAGCGGAGGCGGCAGGCTTCACGGGCCTGTTGGGGCCGTGCCAGGTCCTCGAGGTCCGTCTCCAGGGGGCGGCTTCGCGGGCGCTGAGTACCACTCCTCCTGTTCTAGTGGTCGATCTGGAGCTCGGGGAAATGCCGTTGGAGTCGCTGTATCCTCTTCGTGCTGTCATCCCTGCCGACTTGGTGCCCGTTGGCTCGGCGCGGGGGCGGGATTGCTGGCCTCGCCCCATCGGGGGCCCGACCGCTGCGCGAACGCTTCGCGGAGCCGTGCGGGGCTCCGCCCGCCGACGGCGTGGAGGCCCTGCCCGGGGCCCATCGCGCGACGCCGCGCCACCGCGGGGGCCCCGCGGTCCGAGGCTGGCGCCGCCCAACTGCGAGCCCCCCGCCGGGCCATCGCGGCGCCAGACGACGGAGCTCCGACGTCCCAGGCGGAGGTCGTCGCAGAGAAGCGAGCGATGTTGGCAGCCCAGGCGGGCGCGCTGGCTCCTCCTCCAGCCCCTGCGCCGAGGGCCCCGGTGGAGGTCTCCCAGTCTCCGCGCGGGGAATCGTTTGAGCTGCTCGAGGACGAGGCCGCCCGCTTGGGCACCCCGCTGGAGGACCTGCAAGCCGTCCGAGCCGCCCCCGCCGCGGCCGGGCTCCCCGGTGGCCCTTCCGCCTGGTCTGCCCGCCCCGAGCACGGGTTTCGCTCCAGGCGCGGAGGCCGCCGTGGCAGACCCCGCGGGGGTTGGCCTGAACCCGACTTCGACGCTGGAGCTCGCGCTGGTCTGCTTGCGCGAGGCCCTAGCGCGCCAGCCAGCGCCTTCGGACGGCCTCGCATCCGATGCGGGGGCCGCGCTCCGAACGGGCGCAGTCGCAGGTTTTCGAGGGGGGGCTCGCTGCGGGCCAGATGCGAGGGGTCGCCAGGCGGCGCGAATGGCAGCGGGCGCTCGTGCAGCTCGGACCCCGAATGTGCGAGCTGATGAATGGAAATCTAGCCCGCGCCCTCGGGGCGCGCCTGGAGGGCGCGTGGCCGATCTCGTTCGAGTATTTTCGGGAACGCAACCCTTCGGATATGTATATGTATATGTATATGTATATGTGTATATATATATACACGTATAGATATATATATATATAATTATTGGAGCACACACACACTCTCTCTCACATATATATATATACTCATGACTATATTCATATTCATATAAATATATATACATATATATTTATTTATGTAATTGTGTATATATGTATATGTCTATGTCTATGTCTATGTCTATGTCTATGTCTATGTCTATGTCTATGTCTATGTCTATGTCTATGTCTATGTCTATGTCTATGTCTATGTCTATGTCTATGTCTATGTCTATGTCTATGTCCATGTCTATGTCTATGTCTAGGTCTATGTCTATGTCTATGCCTATGTCTATGTCTATGTCTATGTCTATGTCTATGTATATGTATATGTATATGTATATGTATATGTATATGTATATGTATAGGTATAGGTATAGGTATAGGTATATGTGTATATATATGTATAGGTATATGTATATGTATATGTATATGTATATGTATATGTATAGGTATGTGTATGTGTATGTGTATATGCATATGCATATGCATATGCATATGCATTTGTTTATGTTTATGTATATGTATATGTATATGTACATGTATATGTACATGTATATGTACATGTATATGTATATGTATATATATATATATACCCTCTGGCGGGCGCCAACCTTGCTTCGTCGTCGCGCCGCGACGGGGTCAGAGCGCCTTTGGGGCGCGATGGCTGCCCGCGACGGGGGTCGATGCGGGGCCGTCGATGGGGATGGCGCCCCCCCCCGACGCTTATTAAGAAACTTGAAGTTGAGCTGCAGGCCATCCGCTCCGTGCGCGCTGACCTAGCAGCGCGAGCCGTGCGGGCTTCCTTCCGCGGCGAGGCCGACAGGGCCGCCGCTCGCGGGGAGCTCGCGAGCGCTGTGGCGGACCGCGTCTACATGTGGCGCCTGCGTGGACCGGCCGGTCGCGAGGCCCGCGGCGAGGGCGTGCGGCCCCCGTTCAGCTTGCGCGCCACCGCGCGAAGATGCGGAGAGCGGTTCTCCACGACGCTGAGGTGGTCCACCCGGCCTGGCTGGCGCGGCTCTCGGAGGCGGCAGGCCCTGGCGCCCCGTCCATCGCAGCCGGGCGCGACCTGGGGGAGGTCGAGGCCGCGTGCAGCGCGCGCCCGCGGAGCATGGCGCGTCCTCCCGGCAGCCCAGCGAGCGCCGCGACCCGCGGCGAGCGTCGCGCGGTGCGCCGCCGCCGAGGGCCTTGCGACGAGGCCGTCGAGGACCTGCCCACCTGTGGCGGCCGCGCTCGGGGGCCCGCCAACCGCGAAGGCGCTTCTCGCACCCGCCGCGCGGCGGTCGCGCGGCAGGCGAGCCGCGCGGCCCTCTCCGCGCCCGACGGGGCGATTGCGCCGCCGCCGGGTCTGCGCCCAGCGGGCCGCCGTCCCCCGGGCCTTCCAGGTGCTGGCGGAGGCCAGCGGCTCCACGACGGTGCATCGGCCCGCGCGGTCGCGCAGCCGTGCTTCGTTGGAGCGCGGGGTGTCTGATGCGAGTTCGAGGTCTGCTCGAAGGTCGCTCAACCCTGACGGCCGTGACTCCGACCAGCGGCGTGCCAGAGGGCACTCCTGCCTGCGGTGTCTCGCCTGCCTCCGGCGACGCCCGGCAGCCCTCGCCCGAGCTCGAGGCTCGCCAGTCCGCCGAGCGGGTCTCGGTTGCCCCTTCTGCAGGCTCGGGGGGGGCCTGGGGGGGGGCCGCGCGCCGCCGACGTGCGGCGGCCCGCGCCGGCGGGCCAGGGGCCTCCGAGCCCCGCGGAGCTCGGCGTGGATCCGACGCCGGCGCGCCGCCGACGCCCCAGGGCGCCTCCGCGGCGCGAGCGGCCCGCTTATCCACGCGCTGCTCTGGCGGCGGCCGCTGCCCAGGACGAGTCGGACTTCGACTCGGGCGACCCCGCCGAGGTTGCCCCCTCCCTGGGGGGCTGGCTGAGGCCAGAGATCGCGCGCCGCATTGTCTACGCCGCGCAGAGGACCGTTGCTCAGCAGGAGAGCGCGGATCTGGAGCGGTCTCGCTTGCGGGGCGGCGGCCGCGATCGCGCTGCCGTGCGGCCCGCCGAGGCGCCGCCTCCCTTGCGTCGGGCCCGCCACTTCTGGCGCGCCCGCCAGGAATGCCGCCGATGATGCCGCCGCCCTCGGAAGCCCAGAGGAGGGTGATGGATCGCCATCGGTAATGGGCGAGGCGTCTGCACCTGCTCGAACTGGGAAGCAGTCGCAAGCCCGCGGTGCCCCTTCGGCCCCGTCGACTGGCGCGCGCGCCTCCAGCGAGGCCGTTGCGGTGCCGCAGGGCGGAGCGCGCGCGAGCGAGCCGGGTGGGGGAGTTCGCTCGGCCAGTTCGGGCCAGGGCCCCGTGCGTCCCAGGCGCGGCGAGGCGGCGAGGGTACCAGCCTGGCGCCGTCGCGCGCCGGTGCTGGCCTGCCGCCTCCGTTCCCCGGCGGACGACGCCGCCGCCAGAGCGCGACGGGTCGCCCGGCGCCGTCCCCTTCCTCCTGGAGCCGCCAGCGCTTGCGGCTGGCGGCTCGAGGTGGCGGTCGAGCCACTCGCGGTGGTCAAGCTCGCCGACGACTGGAAGGAGCTCTTCCAGACGGCCGTTCCGTGGCTGCGCACATTCACGGAGGGGGGCATCGATGGGCGGCAGGAGCTGGACGACCTCGACTGCTTGTTTTTGCGGCCCTCCGGGGGTGCGAGCGGCTCTTCGGGGGCGAGGGGGTCAGTCCGTTCGTGGAAGCAGGGTAGGTCGTGCCCGCCAGCGCCGTGGCCCCGCCCGACCTCGTCAACTGCCCCCAGGTGGGCGAGAACGCGGAAGGTGCCATTCGCGGGATCGGCCTGGGCAGCGCCATCCAGCAGCGGCGCCGAGCAGCTAGCCTGGCGTGTGTCTTCGACCTGTTCGCGCACCTGACCGATGGTGATGTTCTCCCGCTGAGGCTGTGGGGGAAGGCCGCCTCTCCCGCTGACCTGCCCGCCACGTGTCGGATGGTCTGCCGAGCGCCGCATTTTGCTGGCCTGATCCCGATGGCGCAGAGGCGGGAGGCTTCCGAGGTGGGAGCTGTGCTCCTCGCTGATACGAGGGCCCCCCTCTTCGGCTGGCCCGCCCCGGGCCCCTCTATGGGGTGACCTGGGGGGCTGGGACTTTCCCGCCTTCGGAGATCGAGGCGATCGCCCGCTCCATCGTCGTGGCAAGCGACGACTAGTTTGCGGAGGCGCGCGCTCGCGCGGCCGCGCGCCCAGGTGTGGATCCTCCACCTCCTCCTCCTCCTCCTCCACCTCCTTCTCCTTCTCCCCGTTTTCCCCGTCCTGCAAGCGAGGGGTCGCCATCTCTTCTGGCCACCTGGCCGCGCGGAGCAGCCGGGGTCCTGCGCCCGCCCTGCTGCTCTGGCGCGCGTGCGGCCAGAGCTGGGCCCGCCAGTCGGGGGCTCAGCCTTGCGCGGCCCCGCGCGCCTCGTGTCCCCTTGGTCCCCTCGGGTTTCCGTGTGGCTCCCGAAAACCTTGATCGCCGATCGCGATTGGTCGACGCCTTTGAATTGTGGGTCGTCGAACACATGAGAGTGGCGCCGTCCACCGTCTGTCCCAGCTGCCTGGATTGGCCTGTCGTGGGAGCGCTTTTGCTGATGGACTGCACCATGTTCCCTCCGCCTGGATAGCTCACGAAGGCTCGAAAATAGTACCTTTTGTTGCCTTCGGGTCGCTTTGTGCCCAGTGGCGACGCATTCCTGTCATTCCTTGCACCTGAGACGCGCAGATCATACCTGACCCAGCGCGCCAGGTGTTCGGATCGGGTCTCCGTGCAACTGCTGGCAAGCGTTTTCGCGCACCTTGCTCCCGCCGATCTGCTCACCCCTTCTGGGGCTAGCGGCTTCCGTGCTCGGTGGGGTCACTTGCGTTCGGCCTTGGGCGTGCCGCTCGCCAAAGCCGCTGGCCTCAATCTTGCTCCCGCTTGCCTGCGAGGCTCGGGTTGTTACTGACTTCTACGTCGCCGCGGAAGACGTCCCGAACAATTTCTGGCGATGCAGGTGGGGCCAAGCTTCCAGCGCAGAGCGCTATCTCCATGCCGCGGCCGCCTCCGTGGTGCTCGCATCTCTCTTTCCGGGGCGGCCGGGGCCCAGGTCGTCTGCACTGGCGCTGCCAGTAGCCGCCAGCTTTTCCCCTTCCTACACGCGGGATCCTCTGTCTTGCCTTTCCAGCTAGCGGCCGCCCGCCGCAGCCTTGCCACTGCATGCGGTCTTCGTGCCTGGGCATGGCTGCTCCGCCCCCGCGCCGGGCGACGGGTTTGCCCCGCCGTCGGGCGAGCGCGGGCCGCCGCGCCTACTCGGAAGCCGCTTGCGCGGGCGCGAGCGTGAGAGTGACTGTCCTAGTCTTGGCGACTCGCCTTCCGCGGCTTCTGCAGTGTTTCGGCCCTCCTCCTCTCCCGCTTGGCCTCGCTGTGCCTGAAGGCGGGCCGCTGCGCTGCTGGCTTCTGCCGCGAGGCGCCTGTCTGCCAGGCGCCCCGTGGTTCGGGGCTGCTCCGCTTTCGGCGGTCAGGGGGTCTTCTCCTGAGCGTGGCGCCGCGGCCCCCCCGCGCCGGGCGGCGGGTTTGTCCCGCGGTCAGGCGCGCGCGGGCCGCCGCGCTTATTTGCAAGCCGTTCGCACGGGCGCGAGCGTGAGAATGATGGTGATACTGCTGATGATGCTGCTGACCATCATGATGATGGTGATGGTGATGGGGAGGAGGATGATGGTGATGGTGCTGATGATGATGGTGCTGTGCTGAGGTTGAAGATAATTTTGTGGATGGTATACTGAGTATGCGGATGGTGATGACGATGATGCTGATGATGCTGATGGTGGTGGTGGGGTCATGAGTTATGAGGATGATGACCACATAGACCACGGTTACCATGATGATGATGCTGATGATGATGAAGATGATGATGATAATGATGATGATGATTAATGATGATGATGATGATGATGATGATGATGATGATGATGATGATGATGATGATGATGATGATGATGATGATGATGATGATGATGATGATAGTGGTGGTGAAGATTATGTTGATGATTCCGTTGGGTGTGATATTCATGGTGTTGTTGATGATGATGATGATGGTGGTGGTGGTTAGATGGTGATGACGACGATGACCACGATGACCAGGATGATGATGCGGATGGCGATGGTGATGATGATGATGCTGATGGCGACGACGATGATGAGCAACATGACGAGGACGTTGGTGCGGATGATGGTGGCTATGATGCTGTCGATACTGATGATGATGGTCGTGGTGATGCTGATGGTGGTCGTGGTGGGATGGTGGTGATGGTGATGTCATGACCACGACCACGATAACCATGATGAAGCTGATGATGCTGATGCTGATTGTAATTGTGCAAGTGTTCATGTTGCTGCTGATGACGATTGTGGCGATGTCGATGATGCTGATGATGGTTACCCAAATTGCGGTGATGATGTGGATGATGCTGATGATGTTTTTAATGGTGATGCTGATGCTGATGATGTTGGTGATGGTGGTGGTGTTGGTGAGATGATGGTGTGGATGATGACGACCACCGCGGTGAACATGACGATGTTGATGATGATGATGATGATGATGATAGCGATGATTCTGATGGTTAGTGCGATGATGATGGGGAT